GTAGCCCATCCCAGCCTTGTGCAGGTCTACAATTTTATCCCTGATGTCCTTACACAGCTCTCTGGTCTTGGCCATTGTGGAGAGGTTGGAGTCTGTTTGATTGAGTGTGTGGACAGGTGTCTTTTATACAGGTAACGAGTTCAAACAGGTGCAGTTAAGACAGGTAATGAGTGGAGAACAGGAGGGCTTCTTAAAGAAAAACTAACAGGTCTGTGAGAGCCGGAATTCTTACTAGTTGGTAGGTGATCAAATACTTATGTCATGCAATAAAATGCAAATTAATTACTTAAAAATCATACAATGTGACTTTCTGGATTTTTGTTTTAGATTCCGTCTCTCACAGTTGAAGTGTACCTATGATAAAAATTGCAGACCTCTACATGCTTTGTAAGTAGGAAAACCTGCAAAATCGGCAGTGTATCAAATACTTGTTCTCCCCACTGTATGTAGTAACACTTTTTTGGTTACTACATGATTCCATATGTGATATTTCATAGTTTCGATGTCTTCACTATTATTCTACAATGTAGAAATAGAGAAAATAAAGACAAACCTTGAATAAGTAGGTGTGTCCGAACTTTTGACTGGTAGTGTATATAATTATTTAAAATATATTTTCCTTTATTATTTTCCCCTAACCCTACCACCCCTCCCCTAATTGGAGTAAACTAATGGACAACAAAACTTAGGCTTCTACTTCCAGCTTATACATATATTTACATTTACATTTAAGTCATTTAGCAGACGCTCTTATCCAGAGCGACTTACAAATTGGTGCATTCAACTTAGGATAGCCAGTGGGACAACCACCCTTTTTTTTATGGGGGGGTGGGGAGGGGGGGTGTAGAAGGATTACTGTTATACTATTCCAGGTATTCCTTAAAGAGGTGGGGGTTTCAAGTGTCTCCAGGAGAGGGTCAGTGACTCCGCTGTCCTGGCGTCGTGGTGGAGCTTGTTCCACCATTGGGGTGCCAGAGAAGCGAATAGCTTTGACTGGGCTGAGCGGGAACTGTGCTTCCATAGAGGGGCTAGCAGGCCAGAGGTGGATGAACGTAGTGCCCTCGTTTGGGTGTAGGGTCTGATCAGAGCCTGAAGGTAAGGAGGTGCCGTTCCCCTCACAGCTCTGTAGGCAAGCACCATGGTTTTGTAGTAGATGCAAGCTTCATACTGTATACATTTTAAGGACACAGTATATTTTACAATAGTTGTCTTTTGTTTGTTTTTAGTCCCATCCTTCAGCTCCACTCAACCCCTCCCATCTATCTCTGAACACCATCCAGTTTTGATTTATATTTGCCATATATTTTTCAACTGTGCTGTGATGTTTCACAAAAGTTCTGAACATTTTTATTCTCATAGATTCTACATCTCTTTTTTGTTTTGTTGCTAAGAGTATTATTATATTATTGATCGATTGACTATTACTTTTTTTAATCACCCCTCACGGGGCAGGGATATTTAACGTTAGCTAGTTAGCGCCAATCACTAACGTTACGCACATTTGCTAGCATGTCACCGCCTGTGTGGAAAAGCCTGACTACACCACGGAGAGATGTTAGCTAATGTAGCCAACTAGCCAACCAAGATGCCTAACTAGCTAGCCCGCCCTGCGACCTGTCTGGAACTGCGAGGAGTAACAGCGTAGCCTACGTTGCTACCATGACGAAGACCAAAGCCAGCGGGAGTACCGTTGAGGACAGTGGTGTCTCTCTATCACAGGTGAAGGATCTTTTAAAACGAACAAAAAGAGTTCTACAAGCAGTTGTTACAACAACAAGAAAATAGCTTCAAGTGTTTTGTCCAAATACTGGTGGATTCAACTAATAAAAGACTGGACGACCTGACCAGAGAGGTCCAGGACCTGAAGAACAGTTTGCAGTTCTGCCAAGGTAAACTTGATGAGTTTAAACAGGAGGACGGCACGACGACCACAATCTGTAAATCATTGAGAGAGGACATCAGTTCTGTATGTGAATCCATGATAACAATTTTCTTAAATTTTAGTCATTTAGCAGACACTCTTATCCAGAGCAACTTACAGTAGTGAGTTCATACATTTTCTGTACTCGTCCTCCATGGGAATCGAACCCACAACCCTGGCGGTGCAAGCGCCATGCTCTACCAACTGAGCTACACAGAGAAGTTACGGAGAAATCAGATTATCTCGAGGGACAATCAAGGCGGAACAACTGTAGCTCAGTTGGTAGAGCATGGCGCTTGCACCGCCAGGGTTGTGGGTTCGATTCCCACGGGGGGGGCAAATGACATGCGGTCACCGCTGCCGTTAACCAATCAGGTGAGGAGCAGATGTTTGCTTGGAAATCTTCTGTTCATGAAACATAGTTCTGCCTGTCATTAGTTCCAGGCAAGCGCAACCAAAAAAAAGATGGAGGAAAGCCAATCATCACTTTGTCTGGTTTTCCAATTCTATATGATTTTGCATTGCTAGAATACAGAGACAAAATCACAAGGTCAATGTCATTGGAGAAAGATAGCAGAGTGTTGCTGTTGATGGTGGGTGAATAGAGATTTGCACAACAATGTTTGCTTGTGCTGCTAGCTAGCTATGAACATCAAGCAACCTTAAACCTCAAAACTGTGATCAAAGCCACCAAATTCTGAAATTTGCCCACCAGAGGATAGAAATCACCAGTAACATGCATTATAACATTGTAAATGACACACTAAGCATGAATTTCCCATGTAACATGCTACCAATTGCATTATGGTATCTTAACATTATAATTCTCATGTAGTGTACCTTATGATTCTTTCATTATTCTGATGTCATGACATTGATGATTACAGCTCACTTCCTGTAAAATACATAGGCCTACATGCACATGAATGGGTACTTTGGGTAAAGGAAAGTGTGGCTTTGAAACATTGTCTATCTTCATAGTTTTCCTCTCCTAGGGACTAAAACTGGACTAAAACATTATTTTCATAATTCATCCCACAACCTTCCCCATCTAACTAGTACACCCACTCCCTTTTTTCTGACATCTGTAGCAGAAAATCCTTTCACTCTCTTCCATTGCCGTTATCTACAAATGCATTTGGAGCATGAGTTTTTAATTTACAATGATAAATAGGCCTAAATCAAGATAACAAGCTAATATGAAGTTAACTAGCTGATGACATTTCACTTAGCTATAGTGTGTACATTTGGCTAGAAAGCTAACTAACAAGCAGCTAATTCGCCTACAGTAACCTGCTAGCTGCTCATTAGCTAGCTACGGTAAACCTCCGTCAGGCTTCTTCTTCTTCTTTGGACTTTATATGGCGGTTGGCAACCAACTTTAAGGTGCATTACCACCACCAACTGGACTGGAGTGTGGACCTCAGTTCATCTTTCAATCACCCATGTAGGTATATGCTCCTAAAAACCAATGAGGGGATGGGAGAGGTGGGACTTGCATCGCATCAAGGGTCACAAATAGAACCAAGTCCTGTTTTAGTGCCTGGCCATGCAGACTCTCGTTGACGCGCACGAGCAGTTTGGATGCAATTAGTTTTTTATTTAACCTTTATTTAACTAGGCAAGTCAGGTAAGAACAAATTCTTATTTACAATGACGGCCTACTGTCTTGTTTTGTATGCTTTGTACAAAATAATAAAATGCAGGACGACAGGATATTTATAAACGTAGCTCTTTATTAACTAGCTATAACTGGCATGTCCATGTGTCTCTGGCCATGATCATCTTAGAATGACCTCACCACCTGGGTGGTCTTAACCAATCATAGCACAGTATGATATGACAGTAATGCATCCAATTACAATTCAGTATGCTGACACATATGAATATTACACCTACCAAAAGGCAAAATCCTCATGTGGGGACGGGGGCTGGATTTACAAATAAAAATATAGGACAAAACACACAACACTACATAAAGAGAGACCTAAGACAACAACATAGCATGGAAGCAACACATGACAACACAGCATGGTAGCGACACCACATGACAACAACATGGTAGCAATACAACATGGTAGCAGCACAACATGGTAGCAATACAACATGGTAGCAGCACAACATGGTAGCAACACAACATGGTAGCAGCACAACATGGTAGCAGCACAACATGGTAGCAACACAACATGGTAGCAATACAACATGGTAGCAATACAACATGGTAGCAACACCACATGACAACAACATGGTAGCAATACAACATGACAGCAGCACAACATGGTAGCAATACAACATGGTAGCAGCACGACATGGTACAAACATTACTGGGCAACAGACAACAGCACAAAGGCAAGAAGGTAGAGACAACAATACATCACGCGAAGCAGCCACAACTGTCAGTAAGAGTGTCCATGATTGAGTCTTTGAATGAAGAGATGGAGATAAAACGATCCAGTTTGAGTGTTTTTTGCAGCTCGTTCCAGTCGCTAGCTGCAGCGAACAGAAAAGAGGAGCGACCCAGGGTTGTGTGACCTTTAACAGTATGTGACTGGCAGAACGGGTGTTGTATGTGGAGGACGAGGGCTGCAGTAGGTATCTCAGATAGGGGGCAGTGAGGCCTAAGAGGGTTTTTATAAATAAGCATAAAACAATAAGCAGCAATGATTGAATAACATGTATGTGTACATTTATTTTGCAACGCACCGCTCGTGTTGGTCAGCATGTAGATGGAATATTGCTTGCGGGGTTGTGGATGGCGGTTTGCACATAAAACCAACCGTCTCCATACTCCGGACATGTAGGTGGCAGCAAACAGCTCACGGACCTTCCAGCCTGGTGTTTAAAAAAACGCTCTACCAGCAACGCGCGTCGGCTAGATCCTCCCACAAGAAGAAGAGTGACTCGATTTTAATTTGTTGGCCCGTGTTTGTGAGAGAGAAGCAGGAGGAGGAGGACTGGTGCCTTGCTTTAGAGCTGACGGGGACGGACAGATAACAATACCGAATACGTGGTCATAGCCGATTCACTCTGCTTCTGAGTCGCGCCGGTCGATAAAAGTTCACTTTTGGAAGCCGTAAAAATGGGGATCCGCAAAAAGACCAACAAGAACCCGCCGGTGTTGAGTCATGAGTTTGTCATCCAGAACCATGCAGATATTGTTTCCTGTGTTGCTATGGTGTTCCTCCTCGGGTTGATGTTTGAGGTAAGGCTAGTCCACAGGTTGGAAGGGGTCTGGGATGCAATAAGACCTAGCTTTCCAAACAGGCCCTACTGAGCCTAGTACAAGGTACAAAGCCTAGCTACAATGTGTCAACTGGCCTGGGGGGGGAGATGATTTCGTTCCGTCACGTCAGTCTCTTGAAAATGGACAGGGCTGATCTACTCGTCCTCCTCTAGTGACAAATCCAAAGTTTCTCTGCTTTTTTAGGTTGTCCTTGTTGTAATATTCAAGTAAATGGTAATTGCATAAGTGTCTTTTTGATTTGAAAAGGCGTGTAGTAGCCTAGTTATAGATTTAAAACTGACCCCCCCATCCCTGCCGGGTTCCCTATTGTTCCTGTCGAGTCTGGCCACTTGGACATTTGAATAACTTTGTCTACGTCGCATTACACGCATCATTGCAATATTTGGGGCAACAATGTAACCTAACTGGAACTAGCGTTACATATGGATTGGTACATTTAGCGACCACAATGTTGCAATTTCTCTGGATACAATATTGTGCTAGACTGTCCAGCATGGATACTTTTTATTCGCAGATAAAGTGTAGGCTACGTGGCAATCACTGGGCGATTGTAAGCGCTGTCATCGTTTATAGGTAGCACCGCTCGTTCGAAAAACGAGTTAGATTCAGAAAGTCCTAAGCATCGCCTATTCAGTTTACAAATTGAACAGCTTAGGTTTTAAAAACATATATATATAATTTTTTATTTATTTATTGTTGGTTTACACTGACTTCTTTTTTGCCTTCATGTTTTGCCTACATGAAGTATCCTTTACTAATGCTGCGTTAATGTAGTAGTTGGAACTAGGAAACTCGAACATTTGAACCGCTAACTGGTTGCAGTTAAACACGTGTTGCGTTCAGACATCTAGGAAGTCGTACATTTCCGAGTTCCCTAGTTCCGACTGGACGTGAACGCAACATAAAATTCAGCGCCAGCATTGAGTTGAGGAGACGCATTATGGGAGTTTGAGTTCTTGTGCCTTGATGTGCTGTAGTCACATTGATGATGCACATCTAAAATAAATAACCTACTGTATTCCAGAACGGAGTTCTACAAATGTATAGTTATGAATCAGTCTTGCCATATTTATATAGCTTTATGAAATCCAAATCCCCGGTTTTCAATTCAATCTTATCTGTAGTATTGGATTGAATGGTTTGCACACTCAACATGTGTTTCTGTCTGATACTTTGTGGTCTAGTCAGTAAATCTACAATGCTACCTGGTTTATTTAACACCGCAGTAGGCTACCCACAGAAAGGCCAGAAAGCTAATGAGAAAATCATGCTGTGGTTTGCTTTTAGTCAATAACTCAGAAACAAGCCTCTGGATGTGTCTCAAATGGCACCCTATTCCCTATATAGTGCACTACTTTTGACCAGAGCCAGGCTAAGTAGTGCACTATATAGGGAATAGGGTGCGATTTGGGACTGAACCCCGTGTTTCATGTCTTTAATTAATCCTCTCCCTTGTCCCCTCTGTGATGCAGGTCACCTCGAAGGTTGCAGTGCTGTTCATCACTGTCCAATACAACGTTACCATCTCAGCAAATGGTGAGTTTAACTTCTTAGTGGCCCCATCTGAACTTTTATCATTTTTTTCACTGGGTCAAACAGTGATGCTCAAAAAGATGAGGATCCGGTATGGAGGTTGTATCAACTACCTCTTTTGCTTTTGTAACTTTTTGTTGTTGTTCTTGTGACATTTTATTTTGAATGAATGACAAGACAACAATTGCCTCATGCCATCTTCCTTTCTCGTCCACCTTTTCTTTAGTGTGTGTGTGTGTGTGGAACTAGTTTGCCTGTTATCAAGTATAGAAACTTTAACTATGACTAGAATCTACAGACTAGTTGTAGAATCAGAAGGCTTCTCCTGTGTGTTAGAGAATAGAAGTACTCGTATGGTCTACCAGTTGCCTAACACCTTCTTTCAGAGCTTTATTTTTTTTCCCTTTGGCACTATATTTAGTCTTCCTGATTTGATAAAGTTCTCCTTTTAGGTTGTCCTGGAACGATTGGGGCTAGAGTGTAACACAAGCCACGGCATCGGAGTCTTGTCTGAGTCCCAAATGGTGCCCTATTCCCTATATAGCGCACTACTTTTGGACCAGGGCCCGTAGGGTAGTGTACTACATAGGGAATAGGGTACCATTTGGGATGCAGTCCTTGCCTCATCTCAAGGTGAATTCATGGTATTCTACACACTCGTGCTACACTCTTCTTACCAGTGGATAGTGCTGAGCGCTTAACCAACATTTTTGTTATTTTTCTTTTTTTTTTAACAACTAACTGACCAACGTTGGTTCAATTATTTGAATTCTATTTTTTAAAACATTTTTTTTTACTGTAACCTTAATGCGCCGTTTTCTCTAGAGAGAAATCAGATCAAGTACGAACTGTGTGATGTTGTAGTTTCCAACAGGCCAATATTCTACATAGTTTAGTGCAGAAAATGTTCTAATGAACTACAATGACCATAATCCATTGCGCGCCTACTTGTCCGGTCAAGTTTGTGGGGCAGACACAGAGGGAGAGAAGAACGCGCGATCGAGAGAGCAGTTGTTGCTTCGCGAGGTATCTCTACCCGACAATACATTATCTAAGTGATTGATAGCTGGTATTCAGTAGTCATAAAAGTATGCCTTATTTACTTTAAAGAACTAATAAAAAAGTGATTTTGTCAGACAACATAGGCAGCAGGTTCTATAGTCAGCTAATATAAAGGATGACTCATTGGGGAGCACAGAGACGGAAGGCTGGCTGGCTCCTACTGCATGAGAACAGAGATGGAAGGCTGCTGGCTGGCTCCTCTGCATGAGACCAGCGATGTAAGTCTGCCTGGCTGGATAACTGCATTAGAACAGAGACTGAAGGCTGGCTTGCTGCTACTGCATGGAACAGAGATGGAAGGCCGGCTGCTGCTACGGCAATGAAACAAGATGGAAGGCTGGCTGGCTGCTACTGCATGAGAACAGAGATGGAAGGCTGGCTGGCTGGCTGCTACTGCATGAGAACAGAGATGGAAGGCTGGCTGCTGGCTGCTAACTGCATGAGAACAGAGAGGGAAGGCTGGCTGGCTGCTCTTGCATGAAACAGAGATGGAATGCTGGGCTGGCTGCTTACTACTGCATGAGAACATAGGATGGAAGGCTGGCTGGCTGGCTGCTTATACTGCATGAGAACAGAGACGGGAGGTGGCTGGCTGGCTGCTACTGCATGATAACAGAGATGGAGGCTTGGCTGGCTGCTACTGCATTAGAACAGAGATTGGAATGCTGCTGGCTGGCTGCTACTGCATGGAAGAACAAGAGATGGGGAAGGCTGGCTGGCTGGCTGCTACTGCATGAGAACAGAGATGGAAGGACTGGCTGGCTGCTACTGCATGAGAACAGAGACGGAAGGCTGGCTGGCTGCTACTGCATGAGAACAGAGATGGAAGGCTGGCTGGCTGCTACTGCATGAGAACAGAGATGGAAGGCTGGCTGGCTGCTACTGCATGAGAACAGAGATGGAAGGCTGGCTGGCTGCTACTGCATGAGAACAGAGATGACATAATGACTTGGAATAAAATAATGGTCATCAAATAAAACTGAAATATCTTAGTAAAGTAATGTGAATGAATGATGGTTAATAAGTGATAAGTAATGTGAATGAATGATGGTTAATAAGTGATAAGCAGTAATGGGCAGTCACTACCATCAGGGGACTTTTACTGTTTTACTCTGTGTTACAGCATTTGACCTATCAAATAAATAAAAACAGAAACCGATAATTAAAAAGTAAAAACAAACTGACCTAAAAAAAACAAACAGACTCTCAGCATTACCAGTGTAGCGCCTTACTCATTTATCCTATAACTTACTGCTCTATTTTCTTCATTTAAAGTCTAACGTGCTGACGGAATGTGCTTTATGATGTCGGATTTTATTTGAAGAGCTGATGTTCTTATCAGAGTCGAGTTGCGTCCAAAATACCACCCTGTTCCCAACAGTGCACTACTTTTGGGACGCAGGTTCAGTTTACAGTGCTCACAAGCCCTCTGTCATTCATTAACAGGCTGATATTTGTTGAAGCTAAATGACTACAGTAGCAGGTCAGGACTTTGGGAGGGAAGTTGACTAAACCTTGTTGCTTATAAAGGCTTCGTAAAGCAAATGTGTTTAAAAAGTGGGACCTCAGTATAATTGCGACGATGCATCTCTTCCATCAGAGGGTCCAGAAGAGACTGTTTTTGAACAACTTCTTATAAATGATATACAGTATAAGGCATCTATGAAGGGTTATAAAGGGTTTATTAAGGCTTAATAAATGTTTCATGTGTCTCCCTACCAGAGGAGAGTGTAGTGAACCACTTCCACCATGGTCCACGGGGCGGCAGGTAGCTTAGTGGTTAAGAGCGTTGTGCCAGTAACCGAAAGGTCGCTGGTTCTAATCCCCGAGTCGACTAGGTGAAAAATCTGTCTGTGCCCTTGAGCAAGGCACTTAACCCTGATTGCTCCTGTAAATCGCTCTGGATAAGAGCGTCTGCTAAATGACTAAAAATGTAAATGTCAAATGGTCTGAAGGATCTGCCTACAGTCCTGAGCCCTGAGGCTGCCTGCTAGCAAGGCATCTCATTACATTCTAGATGGCAGTGACGTTCTATTTACTACATTAAAAACATTGGGGCAGTAACATAAAGGCTTTATGAAGGCTTTTATAAAGGGATTATTAATGCTTAGGTCTCCCTATCAGAGGGCCTGCCAGAGGAGAGCGGAGTGAACCACTTCCACCACGGTCTGAAGGATCTGGCTACAGTGTTCTTCTACATGATGGTCGCCATCATCATGCACGCCATCATCCAGGAGTATGTACTGGACGTAAGTAGTGACACCCACCCAGACACTTCCTATGTTTTTCTGTACATTTGATATGTTATTATAGTCTTATTTGCTCGTTGATAAAAAATAATTTAAATAAGTCAGACAACCACCGATCAGTTTGATATTCTGACAGCATAATTGATCATCCGACACTGATAATCACTGATCAGTTTGACCTCGATTGACTCTTCTCATGTGTCCTTATATACAGAAGATCAACCGGAAAATGCACTTCTCTAAGACCAAGCACAGCAAGTTCAACGAGTCGGCCACTCCCGCCTTTTAACTGTCTCCTTCGCTGGGAACCAAATCCCATGTCGGTAGGTAGCGTGTGTGTGGTGTGTGTGTGTGTGTGTGTGTGTGTGTGGTGTGGTTGTGTGTTGCTGGGGAACCAGCATCCTCATGTCGGTAGGTAGCGCGCGTGTGCGTGTGCGTGTGTGTGTTGCTGGGGAACCAGCATCCTCATGTCGGTAGTAGGCGCGCATGTGGTGTGTGTGTGTTGTGGTGAAGTGTTGTGTGTGGTGTGTTGGTGTTGTTGCTGGGGAACCAGCATCCTCATGTCAGTAGGTAGGCGCGCATGTGTGTGTGTGTGTGTGTGTGTGTGTGTGTGTGTTGCTGGGAGACCAGCATCCTCATGTCGGTAGGTAGGCGCGCGTGTGCGTGTGTGTGTTGCTGGGGAACCAGCATCCTAATGTCGGTAGGTAGGCGCGTGTGTGTGTGCGCGCGTGTATGTGTATGTGTATGTGTGTGTGTGTTGCTGGGGAACCAGCATCCTCATGTCGGTAGGTAGGCGCGTGTGCGTGTGTGTGTGCCCGTGTATGTGTGTGTGTGTGTGTTGCTGGGGAACCAGCATCCTCATGTCGGTAGGTAGGCGTGCTGTGTGTGTGTGTGTGTGTGTGTTGCTGGGGAACCAGCATCCTCATGTCATTACATGGTTTAAACTATTTGTTTACTGGATTATCTGGTGTGTGTGATGTTAATAGGTGATTTTTAAATGGTTTTAATACTGGGCTAGTTGTATGTGTATTGGGTGCCTGACTTTGTCTGAAAGTGGGGGTGCAAAAGCTTGGGTGGTTGGGGGGGGTTTAAAATGAACTTGTCTTAGCAGCATACATATTTGATGCAAAGAGGGTAGAAATGGCTTATTTGGTGGATATTACTTACCAAGCCGAAGCAGACAGACCTGGCGCCAGGATAAAGTGACTAAGGGGGCTGTTGGAATCGGTGAGGGGGCACAATTTGGGGGGGTTCTTGCACTGGAATTGTATTGAATTCTGCTTATATCACGCTATAGCACAATAAACAAAGTTCAAATACCGACACTCCGAGACCATTGAGTACTTTTGAAGTGACAGGTTGGTGCGAAATGTGTAGCCCATCACCTCTGCTCTGTATCAGCACAATGGACAGCGCCCTCACACTAAACCAAGGCCTATTTGGTAATGAATATAGGCTAGAAGATAGATAGGCTGTTTGAAATAGGTAAATTACCCTATTTGAAAGCAGCTGTCTTACCAAAATAATGCAAACTAACTGCTGAAAATAGTAGTCTAGTTATTCATGCAAAACAAATACTGAATAACAACATCGTGCCGGATGTGAGGGCCACCACCGATTCAGAGGACTGGGTGGTCTCGCTCTCCGAGGCCGACTTTAATGAGGTCAACACCCACAAGGCCGCAGGGCCCGAGGGTATTCCAGGGCGCTTTCTCAGAGCATGCACAGAACAGCTGGCAGGCATATTCACGGTCATTTACAACCTCTCCTTGTCCCATCATTCCTCTTCCCAGGAACTCTAAGGCTTAATGCCAGAATGACTACCACCCTGTAGCACTCACATCTGTTACCAGAAAGTGCTTTGAGAGGGTGGGTCTGGTACACATCAACTCCATCATCCCAGACACCCTAGACCTACTCCAATTTGCATACTGCCCGAACAGATCCATAGATGACGCAATCTTAATTGCACTCCACACTGCCCTCACCCACCTAGATAAGAGGAATACCTATGTGACAATGCTGTTCATTGACTACAGCTCAGCATTCAACACCATAGTCCCCTCCAAGCTCGTCAACAAGCTTAGGACCCTGGGACTGAACACCTCCCTCTGTAACTGGGTCCTGGACTTCCTGACGGGCCGATCCCAGGTGGTGAGGGTAGGCAACAGTACCTCCGCCACGCTGACCCTCAACACGGGGGCCCCCCAGGGCTGTGTGCTAAGTCCCCTCCTGTACTCCCTGTTCACCCACTCTGTGGCCAAGCACAACTCCAACACCGTCATTAAGTTTGCTGACGACACGACGGTGGTAGGCCTGATCACCAACGACGATGAGACAGCCTACATGGGGAGGTCTGAGACCTGGCAGAATGGTGCCAGGACAACAACCTCTCCCTCAACATCAGTAAGACCAGGAAGCTGATCGTGCACTACAGCAAATGGAGGGCCGAGCACGCCCCCATCCACATCGACGGGCTGCAGTGGAGCAGGTCGAGCAAACTTAATGACGGTGTTGGAGTTGTGCTTGGTCGAGCGCTTCAAGTTCCTTGGTGTCACTGGACCCTCAAAGTTGCTGTACCATTTGAGAGCATCTTGACTGGCTGCATCACTGCTTGGTATGGCAATATCACCGCCCTCGATCGCATGGCGCTACAGAGGGTGGTGCGGACAGCCCAGTACATCACTGGGGCCGAGATCCCTGCCATCCAGGAACTCTATATCAGGAGGTGTAAAGGAAGGCCCGGAAAATCGTTATAGACTCCAGCCACCCAAGCCATAGACTCTACCTTCCGCACGGCAAGCGGTACCAGTGCATCAAGTCTGACACCAACATGCTCCTGAACAGCTTCTATCCCCAAACCATAAGACTGCTAAGTAGCTAACACAATGGCTACACGGATTATCTGAGTTGACCGTGTATTACATTATTTTTTTCACTGTCTCTATGACTCACACGCTCTGACACTCCAACACCCATTTTTAATGAATTTATTTGCAAATTATGGTGGAAAATAAGTATTTGGTCTATAACAAAAGTTTCTCAATACTTTGTTATATACCCTTTGTTGGCAATGACACAGGTCAAACGTTTTCTGTAAGTCTTCACAAGGTTTTCACACACTGTTGCTGGTATTTTGGCCCATTCCTCCATGCAGATCTCCTCTAGAGCAGTGATGTTTTGGGGCTGTCGCTGGGCAACACAGACTTTCAACTCCCTCCAAAGATTTTCTATGGGGTTGAGATCTGGAGACTGGCTATGCCACTCCAGGACCTTGAAATGCTTCTTACGAAGCCACTCCTTCGTTGCCCGGGCGGTGTGTTTGGGATCATTGTCATGCTGAAAGACCCAGCCATGTTTCATCTTCAATGCCCTTGCTGATGGAAGGAGGTTTTCACTTAAAATCTCATGATACATGGCCCCATTCATTCTTTCCTTTACACGGATCAGTCGTCCTGGTCCCTTTGCAGAAAAACAGCCCCAAATCATGATGTTTCCACCCCCATGCTTCACAGTAAGTATGGTGTTCTTTGGATGCAACTCAGCATTCTTTGTCCTCCAAACACGACGAGTTGAGTTTTTACCAAAAAGTTATATTTTGGTTTCATCTGACCATCTGACATTCTCCCAATCCTCTTCTGGATCATCCAAATGCACTCTAGCAAACTTCAGATGGGCCTGGACATGTACTGGCTTAAGCAGGGGGACACGTCTCGCACTGCAGGATTTGAGTCCCTGGCGGCGTAGTGTGTTACTGATGGTAGGCTTTGTTACTTTGGTCCCAGCTCTCTGCAGGTCATTCACTAGGTCCCCCCTTGTGGTTCTGGGATTTTTGCTCACCGTTCTTGTGATCATTTTGACCCCACAGGGTGAGATCTTGCGTGGAGCCCCAGATCGAGGGAGATTATCAGTATGTCTTCCATTTCCTAATAATTGCTCCCACAGTTGATTTCTTCAAACCAAGCTGCTTACCTATTGCAGATTCAGCCTTCCCAGCCTGGTGCAGGTCTACAATTTTGTTTCTGGTGACCTTTGACAGCTCTTTGGTCTTGGCCATAGTGGAGTTTGGAGTGTGACTGTTTGAGGTTGTGGACAGGTGTCTTTTATACTGATAACAAGTTCAAACAGGTGCCATTAATACAGGTAACGAGTGGAGGACAGAGGAGCCTCTTAAAGAAGAAGTTACAGGTCTGTGAGAGCCAGAAATCTTGCTTGTTTGTAGGTGACCAAATACTTATTTTCCACCATAATTTGCAAATAAATTCATAAAAAATCCTACAATGTGATTTTCTGGAAAAAAATTTCTCAATTTGTCTGTCATAGTTGACGTGTACCTATGATGAAAATTACAGGCCTCTCTCATCTTTTTAAGTTGGAGAACTTGCACAATTGGTGGCTGACTAAATACTTTTTTTCCCCACTGTATTTATACTGACTCTACACGCATGCACACGGACTCCCATACAATCATAGTTTACGCTGCTGCTACTCTGTTTATTATATATCCTGATGCCTAGTCACCTTACCCCTATACATACAGTTGAAGTCGGAAGTTTACATACACCTTAACCAAATACATTTAAACTCAGTTTTTCCACAATTCCTGACATTTAATCCTAGTAAAAAATTTGGGAAAAAAAAAAAAGTTTTAGGTCAGTTAGGATCACCACTTTATTTTAAGAATGTGAAATGTCAGAATAATAGTAGAGAGCTTTTATTTCTTTAATCACATTCCCAGTGGATCAGAAGTTTACATACACTCAATTAGTATTTGGTAGCATTGCCTTTAAATTGTTTAACTTGGGTCAAACATTTCGGGTAGCCTTCCACAAGCTTCCCACAATTAGTTGGGTGAATTTTGGCCCATTCCTCCTGACAGAGCTGGTGTAACTGAGTCAGGTTTGTAGGCCTCCTTGCTCGCACATGCTTTTTCAGTTCTGCCCACAAATTTTCTATAGGATTGAGGTCAGGGCTTTGTGATGGCCACTCCAATACCTTGACTTTGTTGTACTTAAGCCATTTTGCCACAACTTTGGAAGTATGCTTGGGGTCCTTGTCCATTTGGAAGACCCATTTGCGACCAAGCTTTAACTTCCTGACTGATGTCTTGAGATGTTACTTCAATATATCCACATAATTTTCCTTCCTCATGATGCCATCTATTTTGTGAAGTGCACCAGTCCCCCCTGCAGCAAAGCACCCCCACAGCATGATGCTGCCACCCCCGTGCTTCACGGTTGGGATGGTGTTCTTCGGCTTGCAAGCAACCCCCTTTTTCCTCCAAACATA